TATGATATATTGCCCAGCCCTTTGAGCTTCATTTTTTAGAAGACAATGTCAAGTTAAAAGTATTTAAACATTTACATTCGTTGCTGCTTATCAATGTCAGTATCAGTACTAGTGATGGGAAGTTCAGATCATTTTAGTGACTCGGATCTTTGAGTCTCGTTCATCGAGATAAACAAATATGTTTTTGAGTCATTTCGTTCATTTGGTTCAATTTACTAAAATATTATTAAAATGTTACGAATTGCTTCCAAACACATCTACAACTAGCCTAAGTTGTAGTCTCTTTGCTCAGCTCACCTCTTCATGTCTTCAAATGTCAGTGGTTTGTTCATGTTACACTGACCGTCACATATAATCTTAACCAATGTACACAGTCTGAGCCGATAGGAGCCATGATAATTAGTCCACCTTTCAAGTCTTCTGGTTCTTGAATTGTTCGTTCATCACGTGACAGAATGACTCAAACCAGAGGACTCGAGAGATGAACGGATCAATTCTTTTTCTGGCTCTAAATGCATATGATTGGCTCGTGATGAACGAATGACTCAAACCCATTAGAGGACTCGAGAGATGAGCGGTTCAATTCTTTTTCTGGCTCTAAGCGCATATGATTGGCTCGTGATGAACGAATGACTCAAACCCGTTAGAGGACTCGAGAGATGAGCGGTTCAATTCTTTTTCTGGCTCTAAGCGCATATGATTGGCTCGTGATGAACGAATGACTCAAACCCGTTAGAGGACTCGAGAGATGAACGGTTCAATTCTTTTTCCAGCTCTAAACGCATATGATTGGCCCGTGAGGAACAAATGACTCAAACCTGATAGAGGACTTGAGAGATGAACGGATCAATTCTTTTTCCGTCTCTAAACTCATATGATTGGCTTCTGCCTTTCCGTGATGAATGACTCAAAAGACTTGAAATGAACGATACCACCTGCACAAATGTGTGCACGCGCGGATGAACGAATCATTCCCTGAGAGGACTCGTAGTTCCTGAGTCATTGAAGATTCGTTCAAAATGAACAAATCGTTCATGAACAACCCATCACTAGTATCAACTCCAATCAGAATGAATTCAGAATGTAATCTAATGTGTATTTATATAGCGCATGTATAGTGTATGGCCATACACTCAAAGCACTTCAAAATCATGAGGGGGTCTATTCATCCCCTTGGATGATGCAACGGCAGCCACAGGACAACGGTGCCAGTGTGCTCAACACACACCAGCTATTGGTGGAGTGGAGAGACCAATGCCAATGCAGGGTATTTGGCCAGGACACTAGGGTTACACCCCTACTCTTTATGAGAAGTGCCATGGGATTTTTAATGACCACAGAGGGTAAAGACCTTGGTTTAATGTCTCATCCAAAAGACAGCACACACTGACAATATAGTTTCCCCTTCACTTTACTGGGGCATTAGGACTCACACAGACCACAGGTTGAGCACCCCCTGCGGCCCTCATTAACACCACTTTCAACAGCAACTTAGTTTTCCCATGTGGTCTCCCATCCAGGAACTGACCAGGCGCAGCCCTGCTCAGCTTCATTGAGTAACCGGTCTTGGGCTGCATGGTGATTTGGCTGTGGCAGGTTGCACGTTAGCATGACAGCTGTTTTATTTGGCATTAACATGGCAGAGGAGGCACTTTTCTTTAAACCATTCTCAAATGTTGTGTGTTGCCACATTCTGTGTGAATGACCCCTAACACAGGGTGATGGATACCCAACTACAGATTCATCTGCTGTGTTTACAAGTGAGTCATTGAATCATTAATTGAACGAATTCCTTCAAAACAGCTGATCCATTCAGGCACAAAACTAATGCTGTGTTCACACCAGACGCGGAACTAGCGGATAAATCGCGATATTCGCGCATAAATAGCCGCGTGAACATTTGAGTTTCATTCGCGTTTCATTCAAATTCACTTCAGAACAGACGCAGATTCGCGTGATTGGCAGGGCTTCTGTCTGCCCGATTTTATTAATAAAATAACAGTGTTTATGTACTTTATGTAGGCTGAAAAACACTGTCGATACGTTTAGGGTCGTGTCTGAGTCCACTACATGCTTTCAGAGGTGTATCCAGTTCTGTGAGCTCATAAATTCCTCCAGAAACTGAACCTGGATCACAGAGGCTTTCAACGGTGCTTCTGACTGAGCCCAGCCCAGTTTGATGACTTGTTGTCGGTGTCGCCTGGAGGATTTCCCCCGGGAGACCATCAACAGGTTCTACGTCACAATCACGCCCCCACAAGAGCAAGCTTCTGATTGGTTAACGCGGCGCGAATGTCCGCTGAAGTTCAGATTTTCGAACTCAAGAGATTCGCGCAAAGCGCTCGTTAAGCACGTCAAACGCTCAATTCACCCTGTGCCGTTCGCGCGTTTCGCGCTATTCGCACCGCAGGATGTCTATTTGCGCATTTGCATTGACTTAACATGTAAATCACTCGCGCTTGACGCGCGTTCCGCGTCTGGTGTGAACGCAGCATTAGTAGTGGCTTAATGAGAGAGTCATTGAATTACTGACTTGCTTATTTTGCTGAGCGATCATTAATCAGTCCTACTGTAATTAACTATATTAATATGTAAAATGTGTATCATGGACACAATTACCTAACAAGCAACTGTATCTTTGAATGGCACAGTCAAATGATGATTTTACAATAAAATATGCATGTTTTTCATCTCATACAGCCTCAATACAATTTTCAGGATGAAGATCTTACTCTCCAAACTGATTAACACTCATTCATTTATTAGCTGTTCAATTTGACCTTCATAATTTCCAGAAATGTAGAGATAAATAAAATGTTGCATTGTTGAAGTCTAGTTATGTTAAGTTCAAGTATGAAATATGAATACGCGACACAATCTTATGGAAGGATTTAGCGAATTACTGAATAATGCGTATGAATTTGTACAGTATCACTGGTACATTTTTGTACGTTCTGCTACTTCTGTTATGTTTATGTTTCCCTTTCTTACATTTCACATTGTACAGACTCGTGCAAAATAATTCTCCCAAGAGAAAGGGTAGGAATATGTTAAACTGACTAGATATGATCCATCAAAGCTATATTATTTTCCAAACTCTAGTTTTGGCCACTTCTTTCTCTTTTTTATGTACATTTTACTGTGTGCAAAATCACAAGACCACTACAAACCTTTTATCTAACCTAATAACACCATATGAAAAATACTATAGTCATTTATAATAAATGATAAAGTGTTTTTGAACCATACTATAGTAAATTACTTAAATTACTTTGTTGTGGTAGGTTCATGAAATACGGTTATTTACCATAAATATATTTTACACCGCTACCATGTTTTTAATAGTAAAAACTAATTATTTTTTTTTTTACCTTAAATTTTACAGATTTTTTTCATTCATTCATACATTCATTTTCCTTTGGCTTAGTCTATACCTGTCAACCCTCCCGTTTTTTTCGTCATTCTCCTGTATTTTACAGTTCTATCCTGCAATCATCCCGTTAAGGTATTTTCCCATATTTTCAATCTTTCGATGAAAGGGTGGCAATAAACAATAAATGGACGATCCTCCCTATATGCAAATCATACCGCCGAACCACCAGCGAATACCATTTGTTTTTAAATGCGAGTCTGTTCAGTGTTTTTGTTTTATTTAGGCATGAAAACACTTTGAAATATTTATAAAAATGGCAGGATTCCCTTTCCTGTTAAATACAGGTGATATCGCCGCTCCTATATGCTCTAAACAGTGATGTAGAGGTGCGTGACTGTCAGAAGCGCTCCATGGTGATAAATAGACGTTGTTTGTGAAACGGATTCTGTACACGCAATGTAAAGTGGAGCGACAGTCTGGGTTTTGGGTGCATGTTGAACACTCCCGTTTTTCCCGGGAGTCTCCTGTATTTCAGATTCATCTCCCATTTTATACATCCCCCCCTCCCCCATTTTCAGATTTCAAATGTTGGCAGGTATGGTTTGAACAGAAATATACACATAATTAATAATAATAACATCTAAAGATGTCAATCTTGGTGGGTATTTTGTCCTAAACAGCTGATCCATTCAGGCACAAAACTAACAAGTGGCCTAATGAGAGAGTCATTGAATTACTGACTTGCTTATTTTGCTGAGCAAGCATTAATCTGTCCTACTGTAATTAACTACATTAATATGTAAAATGTGTATCATGGACACATTTGGTCTGTCTCTTCAGTTCGCACTACCGCCATCAACCCCACCTCCCCCCCAAACATCCCTCCCCCCGCTCTACAAACGAATGCTTTCTTTATAGCATTAGATGTGTTAATTTTTAAAGTGACACCTCTGTTAATGTAATCAAACAAAAAAATCTAATTAAATGAGATTCATTCGGTGCTCTTTAATCGGAATGTGTAAGTTATTTATATACAATAGCTATTAATTTTAATAAGCTAAACTGCTTGCTAATTTATCGGCTGATAATGTATACTATTTAAGTTTTCTTTTGTAAATAATAATAATAAAACATATTACTAACCGTTGAACTTTTTATAAACAGCTAAACAGCTCCAGATGAACATATTTTTATATTTATTTATTAAACTGGGTTTGAGATGGGGTTGGGTTATGGTGGGCAGATCCCTTATTTTCACATCCCAATGTTGACGGGTATGTCTTAGTCTCTTATTTATCAGGGTCTCCACAGCGGAATGAACCACCAGCATATGTTTTACGCAGCAGATGTTTTTCAAGCTGCAACCCAGAACTGGGAAACACCCATACACTTGCATTCACACACACACACACTCATACACTACGGCCAATTTTGTTCACCCAATTTACCTATAGCGTATGTGTTTGGACTGTGAAGGGATATCGGAGCACCCCACAGTTTAAAAACTAAAGTATACCAGAATAATTATTAGAGTTTGTCAGTTCACTTTAGTTAATACTACAATATGCTGTAGGATTTAATTAACAACATGTTGTAATACTGTATATACAGTATAATACACTTTACTATAGTATGGTTCAAAAACACTAGTATTTACTATAAATTACTATAGTATTCTTCATGTGGGGGAACATAATCTTTCCTTCTTTTGGCAGCTTTCTCAATAATGCACTTGGCAAACGGAGCCTGGAGAGGAAAACAGGGGAACCAAACCGACAGCCACGGATCACTTCTTGCTGCCGCTGAAGCTCATTGGCTGGACCTCCATCTGTCAGAGGTCTGTGATTGGTTCATTCTCCTCATCTCAAGTCATCCTCAGCTCGCCTTCTGAGATTCGATATGCAGCATTGGCCAAACGCCACATAAAAACTTCACTTTTGGTCTGTGCTTGAGGTAGGTTGACCGAATCTGGAGGCTATGGGGGAAAAATGAATCATTATACATACAGTAAAAGTCTTAGGCCACCACCAGTTTTGCGAGCCTAAGACTTTATGAAATTACGTGCTATTTAATATCTTTCAGCATCTCTAGGAGTTCTTCCTAAGATTTAGTTTATTCTATCTTTCCTTTTCTCTCAAGGTGACTCTCATACTGCCTATAATATTGCCTAAACACACTGTACTGTATATAATATTCAGGTCGGGACTCTGTGGAGGCAATTTCATGACTGTCTTTGTTTTATTAGCTGTTCTCTCCGAGTATGATTTCATTACATTAGCAGTGTGTTTGGGATCATAAACATGCTGAAAAATTTACCTAACACAAATAAAGTGCTTTCTAGCAGGAATTACATGACGAATCAAGACCTGTCTGTACATTTCAGCATTCGCAATCCCATCAATTTAGCCAATATTGACAACATCTCTGGCAGAAATGCAGATCAAACCAAGAAACAAACGCATTCAGTATTATGTATTCATTCTTCTATCTTTCTTTCATATCTCTTAAACAATTCGACCCAAAAAGTCCAACTAGAACCTGTATCTTCTGGATGTATTTTTATAAAGAGAATGAGAAGTAGTATATAATCTCTCACCAAAACAACAAATGTAACTGCGGGACCTAAGACTTTTGCATAGTACTGTATAAATAGTGATATTTACTTTGGTTAATCATCCAAGTGACTCTAAATCTCACAGTTACCTGAGGAGTATGTGTAAATATGAGCCCAGGCCTGTTAGGATGTGCCACCAGGCGTGAAGCTGTGTAACTGCCCCAACCACCGGGGGCAATTGCTGCCTTGCTGATCTGAGGGAATCACAGACACAAATAATAAATTACTTCAGCTGCTTTCTGCACAGAGATGAACACAGCAGATATAAGTAATAATATAAGGCCTTGTTCGCACCTGGTATTAAAGGGGTCATGAAACTTCATTGAAAATAAAGTGCTTCCACTCTTTGTGCTGGGATCAGACAGGCTGTTTTGGAACTCGCAGCTTGGCTCTGCACACCGTCTTTATCATTTGGTTACTGCACTATGGGCAGCGTTTATCTCTTATTTTAATAACCTACGTGCTTGGTCTTAAAGAGCATAGGGCAGCTAGACATAAGATATATATCTGAATTCACTTTTGCTATTTTAAGGATTGGAAAAACAGTCGGTGAACCAGGCGCATCATCTTAATAGCTTGTGCTTATTCTCTTAATGAGCTTTGGTTGTGTTTTGGGTGTAGCATGCATTAAACCAATCAGAGTCTCATTCTCTTTAAGAGCAAGTTGTGATCGGCACATTCAGTATTTACATGGCGGACTTTGTAAGTGGGGAAAACTGAATGCTCTACATCTTTACTTTACACATGCGAGCTGGTGGCCAGAGCTAAACAGGCAGTGATGTAGAAGTAAGCCTTGATCTTATTCTTTGGAGGTGGAGATTATCCTCACGATTTTGTAATAACAGGGTTCCCGTGGGTCCTTAAGATGTCTTAAATTAAAATCCGGGAAATTAAGGTCTTAAATTGTCTTAAATTTACAGTAAAGTGGCTGTTAGATATTAAGTTTTCAGGCGGTGTGCTTAATGATGATAGGGAAGCACAGTGGTCCACCGTAAAACATCTAATAGTTGATCATTTTAGCATGTGTGAAACAGGAGGGAAATGAGTCGCTGTGATTTATTAGCTTATTAAAACATGTAGCCTAATGTTGATGAGTTAAGAATTTTCAAATTATAACTAAATATTAAAATTAAGACATAAAATCATAATGCAGACAGAGTAAATAGGCTAATGTTGGCATTAATCTTTTAATTTTCAGCTTCACCGTCACCTTATTGTGAAGAGAAGTGGCAAAACAAATCCCACAGAGCCTTTATCTTAATTTCATTATTGCCAAATACAAGTCATCATTTATCTTTTATTTGAATTTAATTTTTAATTTAATTTGTTAAGAAAGACTTATTTTTTTGGTGTGTTGGCCAATTTAAAGGCTAAGTGTATGTACCTGGGCCTATTTAGAGCGCTGAGATGTTAAGATGTTACAGAGGACTTATTTTATGTTTTGTTCCAATTTCCAAGTGGTATATAGCCTACGTTATGAATGAGTAATGTTAACACATATAAACGACTTATTCATGAAAAAATACAGGAGAGCTGTGTGCATTTGCACATTTGAATAATGTTGGGGTATAAACGGGTTCAGGCTTTTTAAAAGCTGTCAATCAATATGTACTTGTCAGGCTTGGCGCCCTTCCGGGCCTAACTTTTATGGCCTGATTACAGCTCTAGTTCAGACGCCACCTCACAGTCAGCTATAACAGACACTCAAAAGGCAGGAACTGCGGGTTATCCATACTGTGACGAGGCACAATTCATTTAAATCTAACAAGGACATTAAATGGAGTAGCCTACTCCAAAGAAATTATGAAATTTTTGGGTGTTAAATTATATTTGTTGAGGTCTTAAAAAACATTCAATTGTACTTTTAAAATGGTGCAAAAACCCTGAATAAAGAGGCATATTCTACAACCTGTCATTATGGCAGACTGGCTTTACTATAAGCTGTTTTTAGATTAATGTGATAGTTCTTTGAGTTCCTAAATGCACATGAGGTTTTATAGTATTAAAAGATAAGGGGAAATTCCTTTCTTACTTCATGACCCTTTCATATGTTGCCATGTACAGTCCTATTCACTAACTTGCTTGCTTTCCCCAGAGGAAAGGGTCTTGAAACACAAGTGGACACAAGATAATGCGTAAAATGTGTCTTCGCCTCAACGGCATTTGTGATATGTATCTATCTACCAGTAGGACAGCCTCTTGTAAACACACGTACAACTAAATAGCAGAAGTAACACAAAACTGTTTATAAAATGTTTAAATATGTATAATTTTCCAACAAAAACACATCCATTTGCCTTTAATCTCTTCTTGGAGCCATGTGAGGCCATTTTTAGCATGGATACATGTGCTTTATAAGACTTAAATTGGACTGTTAAAGAGAAACAATAACAGATGCCATTGTAAAGCTGGAATTATTATTATTTTACATAACTCTGGACTGTATTTGACGAAGAAGAAAGTCATATACGTATAGGATGCGTTGAGTGTGAGTTAATCATTAGCTATTTTAGATTTTTGGGTGAACTAGCACTTTAATACCAGGAGGAAACAGGGTCTAAGTGATATTATCATATATAACATCTGATTTTTTTGTCTAATATTATTAAATATTGAAAGCTAATGGTTATTTTAGTTGAGCAAATGTGATGCAAATGAAATGTATATCTACCTTAAAGAGTCACACATCATATTATCGATGTTCCATAATACGAATCCCAGCAGGAAGACGCTTAATGATGTAAAGCCGAGGGCTCTGAGCCACGGATAGACCCTGTGAAGCACAAACAAAATACTAAAGTGCATATTTACGTGTTTATAACACACATTCACATCAGTGCAGACCAGATTGAATAAATTGCCATTCAAGCCTGGCTACATTTTCATATAAAACACTCAAGTTTCTTAATCAAACCAATAGACTTTTGAACAAAAAACAACATAAATTTTCACTAAAGTGAAATTGATTTCTTCCAGTAACTACTAATGTTTTATAGATGCTGCTGTGAGCTCTTCGGATGTTAATCGATTGTATATGCTTTTGTTGAATATATCTGCTTTAATTAACTCGCCATATTTGAAGAACAGTATTGTTTACTAATGCAATTTGTGCAGCAAAAGAAACTTACCCATGGTGCTGTACAAAAAAACTTATACCAGTGAGTGTGAATGAGCAAAATATACCTTTAGCCTTACTCGCTCTCAAAAAGCAATGCCAATGACAAATTAATTCAGTCTCCAATTGCTCACAAGATACTTAAGTATTCATTTAAGCTTATTAAATTCATAGTCTTTTATTTTTGTCAAATGTTTCTCCTCATAATTGATTGGTTTGCCCTGGCTTATAACTAGGCTTCACACAGAATCTGCACATGCAGAAATCCACAGATTTTTGAGCCCATTATGTAAATATAAATTTAATTCAGTTTTTATATTTATTATCAAATAATATGGAAATGTTCATATGGTTTACATACAGTACAATACAGTTTGTAAAGTAATATTATCTGTCTTTTATTAGATTCATTATATTAAAGACTTACAGTACTTTTTTTTTTTTTATTGCTGTCTTTACCGAACACTAGTTCTAATTCATTTTCTGTATAAACATTAAACAAAAGTTATTTAAAGTTTTTTATTCATAAATCTGCAAATTTTTTGGAGAATGGTAGATTCTGTCTGGCCCTTCTTATAACCCAATATCAGAAGGAAAAAAATATTTACGTATTGTCAAAAAATGAATTAGGCTTATTTCTCAGATCATTCATAAAATTTATTCTTACAAAAACATGCAATTTTAAAAAATGTATACTATTTAACATATTGTCAACAAAGTGGCTTATTCATAAGTCTATTCTTAAGATTCCTTCTTACGAAAATGTTAAATTTTTATACTACATGTATTGTCTAAAAAGTGGCTAATTCGTAAGATCAATTTTAAGATTCCTTCTTACAAAAATGTGCAATTAATTTTTTATACTGTTTTGCATATTGTCAAAACAAGTGGCTAATTCGTGAGATCATTCGTAAAATTAATTCTTACAAAAATGAAATTTTTTTTAACGATTTTACATATTGTCAAAAAAGTGGCTACTTCGTAAGATCATTTATAAAATTCATTTTTACGAAAATCAGCAACTTATTTTTTATACTATTTTACGTATTGTCAAAAAAGTGGGTAATTCATAAGATCATTTGTAAAATTAATTCTTACAAAAATGTAAAAATTTTATACGATTTCAGGTATTGTCAAAAAGTGGCTAATTCATAAGACCATTTTTAAGATTCCTTCTTACGAAAACATACAATTTTTATACTATATTTTATGTATTGTCAAAAAAGTGGCTACTTCATTAGATCATTCTTAAGATTCCTTAGGAAAATGTAGAATTTTTATACAATTTTACATATTGTCAAAAAAAGTGGCTAATTTGTAAGACCATTCTTAAGAAATGTAGAAAATAGTTTTTTTTTTTGTTTTCTTCGTTTCATGTATCGTCAAAAAAGTGGCAAATTCATAAAATTATTCTTACAAAAACGTGCCATGTTTAAAAAGAGGTATGCCACTAAACCCCACCATTTATGAGCAAATCACAATAAAATGTACAAATGAGATCATACGAATTAGCCAATAAATCAAAAAGTTACGAATTGCAGTCAGATTGCGTTTTTTCAATCCATATAAAATTAAGTAATGAGAAAAATAATTCTTGGGCCAGTGCTGGTGGAAAAAGTAAAAAAGAAAAAATAAATCATGTTAAAAAGAACTCTTAGTCAAATGCTTGAAGACATTTTCTGTGTGAGTAGTTACTTTAAAAAACAAATGGAAAAAAAAATTGGCTTTAACAAGATAAATTTTAATTAAATTATTTTTTTTTCCTATTACATATCCCATTTCATTTGGAAATAGATTGTAAATGCAGAGATTACAGACTTAGAAATGACATTGATGAATTCACTCACCATGTGACTATGAAAACAGAGCGAATCACCAAGAAAGCCACTAGCACGGCATACATGACCTGAGGGGGCAATGATAAAACATTTGTTAACCGCTGAATTTAACATCACAATACATAAACAATACGACTATTTAAATGGTGATTTCTTTTAGTGTCATCATGCCTGGTTTAAACAAAAGACATCACAGTGGAATGTTTACTGAGGCTCTTAGCATTCAATAGCATGAACATAAATACAGCCACGCCCTGCTGTCATGCTCTTAAAGCTTCAGAAGCTCTGACAGACTGCAGGAGAGCACATTGAGCAAATAGAATAAAACAAACTAGAAGTGTTTAAGATCAGGCAGAACAATTACTGTCAGGCCTTACCTGATGAAAGACAGGCTCTTTCCATAGCAGGTAAATCTGTAGACGACAAATGAGATGCACTTAATGAGCACAGATTTAAAAACTGAAAATTAAAAATTTAGAAAACTAGGCAATATTTTAGCACGCATGCACTGTAAAAAAGGCAATTGTTTTTACAAATTTAAGTGGATTAACAATTAAGTTGTCCCCCCCAAAAAACAAGAATTGAGTTGTTTCATCTCATTTTAAATAAGTAGTTAGAACAAACAGCAAAAGTCATTCATTTAGTGTAAAAAGTAGGGATGTGACAAGATCTCGGGCTTTAAGATCTTGCGACAAGGTTTCCTGTCGAGGTGTAAAGTTGTCTCGTGAGTTGTGATGTTATGCTGAAGCGTGAGGGTGAATTTAGCGGGATTGGAGGTAGGATTGGATTTGAACCGCACATCAAGTGCTTTCCACACACCTGGCAACCCAGGCTGCCTCTGTGTTGCACGTCACTCATCGCATAGGCGGGTGTGATGAAACCCCTTTTTTTACTGGAGTTCAAGGGTTGCCGCATCCAAAAGCAGAGGCTGCTACAACTGCTTTTGCCTTGAATAAAAGACTATTTTCCATTTAAATATTTCCTCATTGAAGACTTCTTAAAAATAGTATAAAAATTTTGTTCTCGTGAACACAATCTCGTGAAGTAAGAGTCTCGTCACACCCATATAGAAAGCATTAATAAACTGAAGTCCAGTGTCTACTTTAACGTTTTAAATTAATTGAAATGTCAAAATGGGGTGTTTCATTATAAAAAAAACAGAAATGTGCGCACATCTAGAAAAATCTTGAAGGCAGGTGCACGATCAAAAAACAAACATAAGTAGCAAAAGGTTCAAAGTAAATCGGCACACTGCCACTTTAGCTCTCAAAAAATTTTTAATGTCAAAATTACAAAATCACAACGTTTCGACCGACATGGTCTTCATTGGTGACCTGGGGCCTCATGTATCAACGCGGCGTACACACAAAAACTTTGCGTACGCCAGGTTTCACGCTCAGAATCGCTCACGTTTGGATTTACTAACAATGAACTGAACGTGGGAATGTGCGCAGCTTCACGGCAGCTTTCTGGCAGGCGTACGCACATTTTTTGTGCGTGTCTGTTTTATTTCCATTGGCGACTCCTAGAGGCAGTTGTGTTAAATTCCTCTCTACAAAGTGTCTGAGCCAATGACTGTAAAAAATATGGACGACGCGACAGCCCTTTTTCCCATTGAACGCCTTGAGGGCAAAACGCCTGCTTGACGGGCACAAACTGTCGCAAAAGACTGCTGAAATTGGAGCCAGACATGCGCAGAAGGATTGTCTGATGGAGCCAGAGGAGGAGCCGCGAAAATGAGCAGAGTCGAGCTTCCAATCAAACGCTTTATGTAAAATCAACTACGCCCCCCGAACTTCTCAGCATGCGTTTGCTGTCATATCAACACAAATGGATGTAATAACGTTAACAAATATGAGGGTTTTAAATATTCAATCGCTCCAGGCCGCAACACATAACTTACTCGCGGCGTCGCGGGCTGATTCCGGCTCGCATGCGGCAGCGCCTGCTCGCTCGGCCGCCGCATCTGGCTCGATTGACTCGGGCTGGAATTGGGTAGTGAGTCCAGGCATCCGGAGCAGGTCCAGCAGAGGTAACATTAGTCAGTCTGAGCTCTAAGAGATAAGTCTCCGGCAGGCGAGAATCTAGCCGGAACTGTGTTTTGCTATCTGGGTGGCTAGGCGTGTATCAGCAAACTAATAAAGCCCGAAAAAAGCCCTGAACTTAGCGAATAAACAGTGTTCCACCAGGATCATGTATGTCAGAAACTATAGTTTACTGCTGAACTCATTTTGTCATGGTAAAATAACACAGAAATCGAATAATAACATTTCAGTCTACTTCAGTCTCCTGCCGAAGCTCAGACGCCGCGCTTTGAGAAACTGTCAATCACAGCTGTCAATCACGATGACACGCCCAGCATTAAATTACTGCTAAAAACAAACTGTTTACAAAAATGAAGATCTGCACCTATTTCAGCACAATAACCAGTGCCTTAATCGACCAGAACTATCTTTCGGGACATTTTATTGCAAGTGTAATATTTTTTTTTATTTGGGCTCAAGTCTCCTTCATTAACACGGAGGAGGCGGGCTTTATGACTTGTACTGCAGCCAGCCCCCAGGGGGCGATCTAACGGCCGAAACCTTCACTCAAACGTAGGCTTGCGGCAAACTTGGTCTGAGCCTTGCAATGGCGTCTGTATGAGACAGGTTCATCTAGCAGGTAAAAAAGGTTTCCATACCATACAGTTGAGCAGCTAAACATTAAAGCACAATTTGCAGCGGTGGCCTGTTTTCCCAATGTAATCTTAGCTATCTACTGCACGCACATTGCTATAAAGACACTATCTGAAGATGAATTTGCATTCGTGAATCAGAAACATTTCATTCAATAAATGTGCAAATAAAATATGATGCACAAACTTATTGATGATTCCTACTTGTCTTTCTCGTGATAAATAGTTGGCAAAATCTGATATGTAGCGGGGAAAAAAAAGAACAAAGAGTTCATCAGACGCTGGATTCGAGCCGAGTTCATGCTCGAACGTGTCAAAACATGATCACATGCGTCTTACGAACGCGCCACTGAGACTATTAAGACTGCTGCAACATTTTACAGATATAAACCACACTATTTATTTTTTTAATGCACTCAGTGCAATGTTCAGACCCAACTGTGTTGACCGCATCAGCTAAACTCTCCCACTCTATTTTTTTCTTTTGTTGTTAATTCCGGAGAACAAACTTGCAAATAACACCGCTTTTCTCCGGTCTACCTCCGAAAGCAGCACCTCCAATTCACATTTTGTTAAAAGTTTCTCTTTTTGCTTGCTTTTGCCATTGCTTTTTCGTTGGGTTTTGCCATTAGCATAGTCATTAGCATATTCATACGGGGAGGAGGCAGGGAGGGGTTTTGCGCTCGTGCATGTTGCGCTCAGTTTCACGTTCATTCAGATGTACAAAAGAATATGCGTGAGATTCGGCGTACGCAGTGTTTCATACATCTGATTTTTTTTCTGCGTACGCACATTTACAGCTTTGTGCGTACACAATGTTTTAGTAAGATTTCCACGCAAGTCTTCGTACATGAGGCCCCTGATGAAGACCATGTCGGTCGAAACGTTGTGATTTTGTAATTTTGACATTAAAATTTTTTTGAGAGCTAAAGTGGCAGTGTGCCGATTTTTTACTTTGAATCTTGTGTTTCATTATAACTCATTAAATCATTAGGTTGAATTAAAAATAAAATGAAACTGCATACTAATTTTGTCTTGTACAATATTTTAATAATCATCCATATATTTATACTAAGTTACACTGTTCAGTATTTTAGGTCATTTTTGTCATGCCAGGTAATTTTTTTGAGCATTTGTATGTAAATTGAAGCTGCTGCTTTTGAAAAGGCTTAATAAATCATTATTATTATTAGGTGACTCAGTGGTTAGCAATGTCGCCTCACAGCAAGAAGATTGCTGGTTCGAGTCCCAGCTGGGCAAGTTGCAAGACATGCACCATAGGTGAATTAAATAAACTAAATTGGCTGTAGTGTATGTGTGCGAATGAGTGTGTATGAATGTTTCCCGGTACTGGGTTGTAGCTGGAAGGGCATCCGCTGTGTAAAACATATGTTGGATAAGTTGGCGGTTCATTCCGCTGTGGCGACCCCTGATTAATAAAAGGGCTAAGCCAAAGGAAAATTAATGAATAATAATAATGATTAATGGTTAATTAGGTGAGAATAATTTTTTTCAAATAATAATAATAATAACCATTTTATGTTAATTATTTTAATTTAAATATTAAAAATATCTCTGACTTTTAGGCTTTCTTTACAGTATATAAATATAGCCCATTTCGATGTGGTGATGTCATTGGCCTATGAACATTTCCCGCTTGTTGTCAAACTATTGTATAACTATAGCAAGAGGAAATTTCAATATAAACGTTATAACAGCTATCATGGCATTATTTATCAATATGTAGACCTTTTTGGATTCTCGAAAGCAATGGAAGTTAAAAATGTAACACAGAAAGTATGTTAGGGCCACTGTTATTGTTTATGTTCCTCAATGTTAATATCCCTTTATGTTTTTGTTAATGTAAAAAAAAATACTTACCACACTAACAATAATACTGAAGGTCAACAAAAGTATAATTGAGAAATAGTTAACGGCACGCTCTTGCTTGAAGCACTCGTATCTGTAAAAATCATAAAACACTCATTCAGATCAGTCACACATAAAAATCAACACGTAAATATATATTTTTAGGTATGATTTCTTTAAAGGATATGTATTTATATTCAGTAGGCCTGTCACAATAATCAATATGACGACTTATTGGACAACACATGGACTAAAAAATTTTGTTGATGCAATATATATCGCCCATACATAAACACCAATTCTAGCAACATTTAGCTGATTGTCCAACATCTCTCTCTATCTCTATTGGAGGAGTCAGTGTCACTATGGTTAAAAAACACAGTAGTATTTACTATTCATTGCTATAATATATTTTCATGCGGGTGTCTGACAACTGAAAATAGATCTGGTAGCAAATAGCGCAGCCTCCTGTTACTTTTTACCATGCAATTTGCTGTTAACATTTATTATTATTTATTTAGGATATTAATTTTTACATCCTGATTCCAATGCCTCATTATTAAATTATTAAAATGACTATAATTAAAGTAAATATTTTTAAGAATAAAATATGTGTTCTTTGGAAGAGTGTATTATGATGCTATTATATTGTCATTCTGCCATTATATAACGAGGGCTATAAAATGCTCTTAAAATGACAATAGTATTGTTTATCGCATTATATTCTGGTGCAATATATCGTACAGAAAAAAATAGATATCATGACAGGCCATATATTCAGCTTATTAAAAATGCTTCTTTCTGACTCCAAACTTATAAACATGAGTTAGCGTAAAGAAGTCAAAAAGATTAATAGTTCAAAATAGCGTATCTATCAAATGCAGCATCTGATTATTATTAAGGTCAAGTAAACAGTGTCAAATGATGCAAGTGTAAAAAAAAAAAGGTCAACTTACAGACAGTAAACAAAGACGCAGCAGCTGTAGATCATCGGCAGCTCATCCAGTAACTAAACACAAAAGACAATCCAGACAACATTTATGGGTCACATGTGATTTATTGCCCCTGCTTTGTGTCATGCGCTGTACCGTTACATAAAGCAAATCCTCTAATTCGCTAAGGAAAAGTCAAGCTTACCTGCATTTCATACTGTAGTGTCATGTGGAAGCTCCATGAGCCAATCCCTACAGCTGGACCAACAAAACAGTTCATTACATCTCTATTTGCTTAGGAAATTTAGTAAGACTGAGAAAAAATACAGTGGTTTCTATGATAAGTATATAAATGAATCCGTTCATACCAGCAAGTCCTAAAAAGGACCACACATAGCGTACTTCCAAACCATCTCTACACGTCTGAATGGCTCCATAAATGGGAGGTAGGATCATTATCAGGTTACTGACAGTATTCCCTGCAGAAAGACAAAAAGCAATGGTTTCATGTTAATGAATGAACATATGAAAGGGTTCGTTCACCCAAAAATTATTCATTCATTTATTTTCCTTTAGCTTAGTTTCTATGTCAGAGGTCGCCACAGCAGAATGAACCGACAACTATTCCAGCATGTTTTACGATGCCCTTTTGGACAATTTAGTTGATTTAATTCACATATAATGCATGTGTTTGGACTGTTAGGGAAACCAGAGCAACCGGAGCCAAAATGGGGAGAACATGCAAACTCCACAATGCCAACTGGCCCGGCTGGGACTCGAACCAGCGACCTTCTTGCTGTGAGGTGACAGCGCCTCCGGTTTCCCCCACAGTCCAAAGACATGCGCTATATATAGGTGAAATAAATAGGCTAAATTGTCCGTAGTGTATGTGTGTCAAGGAGTGTATGGATGTTTCCTTGTACTGTGTTGCGGGTGAAAGGGCATCTGCTGCGTAAAACATATGCTGGAATAATTGGCGGTTCATTCCGCTGATGAATAAAGGGACTAAGCTGAAGGAAAATGAATGAATGAATATTCATTCATTCATTTTCTTGTCAGCTTAGTCCCTTTATTAATCCGGGGTCGCCACAGCAGAATGAACTGCCAACTTATCCAGCAAATATTTACGCAGCGGATGCCCTTCCAGCCACAACCCATCTCTGGGAAACATCCACACTCAGTCACACACACACTCATACACTATGGACAATTTAGCCTACCCAATTCACCTGTACCACATGTCTTTGGACTGTGGTGGAAACCGGAAACCCACTTGAAGGCAGGGAGAACATGCAAACTCCACACAGAAACGCCAACTGAGCCGAGGTTCGAACCAGCGACCTTCTTGCTGTGAGGCGACAGCACTACCTACTGCACTACTGCCTCACCCTAAATGAATATAATTCAACAAATGTTGGTTTTGTACAATATTTTCCAGCAACAACTCTCAATGTTATAAGAAGACAAACTGCTGCTTGCTTGCTAACTCATTTGGTTATGTACTATTATTTAAAGCCCGATCACACTGAACACGTTTTTTAATGCAATTTTAAAGCAGTATTCTATTAGCAATGAGATTTTTGCGAGCTGCTTATGTGCCTTGCGTATTCACATTTTAATAGAAAAAAGTTGAGATGTTTTCACCTCGAAAATGCGAGCGTGTCTCGTGTTAACAACATAACCTGCAGCAAACTTCCACTTGAATTGATGCGAACAGTAGTTAAGTGAACTTCATCCAAACTGGCCTCTTAGCACCAGCAGCAGCTGTCAGACTGCTATTGTGCCTGTTTGCTGAGTCCAAGAAAACTAAACCTATTTTAGAAAGCCCTAACATACTGTGTACAGGCCTATTGTTTCACTGTTTGCATATATGGCTCATCATACCAAACATAGCACATTCCTTCACTGGACACTAAAGACCCAATAATCTTACCAGCACTAAAATTCCTAATGGATCTATGTTAACTGCTGATTGAGATATATGACCTGGCTCACATGTAATCTGCGGGCGCAGAATTCTGCCGATTATTAGCCCATCATTAATTACATTTATTTGCTTGAGTAAATGTGTGTAAATCTAAATTTATTCAGTTTTTTTTTTTATTTAATTACAGTAATATTATTGACTAATATGAACATTTTCATCTGATTTATGTACAATGCAGTTTGTAAAGTAATATTTTCTGTCTGTTAGTATATATATTATATGAGAGACTTGCTTTGTTTACCAAATAAAGTGAATCTAATTAGATTTGCAATTTAAACATTAAATAAAAGTTAAAAAGGTATTTATTTTTAATTCCCTAATTAAGGTTTTAGTTATAGGGCGAGGCAGTGGCGCAGTAGGTAGTGCTGTCACCTCACAGCAAGAAGGTCGCTGGTTTGAACCTCGGCTCAGTTGGTGTTTCTGTGTGGAGTTTGCAAGTTCTCCCTGCCTTCGGGTGGGTTTCCTCCGGGTGCTCCGGTTTCCCCCACAGTCCAAAGACATGCAGTACAGGTGAATTGGGTAGGCTAAATTGTGTGTGTGTGTGTGTGCGTGTGTGTGTGTGTGTGTGTGTGTGTGTGTGTGTGTGTGTGTGTGTGTGTGTGTGTGTGTGTGTGTGTGTGTGTGAGAATGTGTAGGTTCATTCCGCTGTGGCGACCCCGGATTAATAAAGGAACTAAGCCGACAAGAAAATGAATGAATGAATGAATGAATGAAAGGTTTTAGTTATGATACTCCCAAAATAATTCCGCAGATTTTTACCAAAATTTTCAGCAGAAATAGCAAAAAACATCTGCAGATTCCGTCTGGCCCTGTATTTGACTAATTCATGTTATAACATAATACTAAAATAGTTATTTCTTTCTTAAACTGTCCGTATTGTGATTTGTTGAAGTAGTGTTGAGCGATATGATAAAAATGATCATATTATGAAAACAATATATATCACAAATTCAGTATAGTACTGTACATTTATTCAATTACTTGTTTATATACACTACCTGACCAGTCTTGTCACCTATCCAAGTTTTAAGAACAACAAATAATAACTCGACTTCTAGTTGATCATTTGGTATCAGAAGTGGCTTATATGAAAGGCACAGGCTTCTAAATGTTGCTTATATTCCCAAACTAAAATATGATCATGCCTTGATTTTACTTATTTAATTAGGACAGTAAGGTCTGACTTTGCTTAGACAAAACTCTTGTCACTTAACAGAAATAATGTCCAGTATAGAATATAAAGTCATGCTGCAGTGGAAACAGAATAAATATTGTGTCTGACTCCATCATGAGCTTGGAGGACTGCATCCATACATCTCTGCAATGACTCAAATCACTTATTAATAAAGTCATCTGGAAAGGCAAAGAAAGCGTTCCTGCAGGACTCCCAGAGTTCATCAAGATTCTTTGGATTCATCTTCAGTGCCTCCTCCTTCATCTCACCCCAGACATGCTTAATAATGTTCATGTCTGGTGACTGGGCTGGCCAATCCTGGAGCACCTTGACCTTCTTTGCTTTCAGAAACTTTGATGTGGAGGCTGATTTCTGTGGGAATCTTAGGTCCATGCGGGTTCCAATAGGTCTTCTGCAGTATTTGTGATGATCGTGATGCAGCTCAACCGATGATTCATCAGAAAAACTAGAAGTCAAGTTAATATTTGTAGATCTTACAATTGGGGTCGACAACAAGTCTTTTATCAAGGTGTTTATATTGACCACATGTAATGTAATGTAATGTGTATTTATATAGCACACTTATTGTGTATGGCCTTACACCCAAAGCGCTTCACAATCATGAGAGGGTACATGTAAAGCACTGTTGCTTTTATACATTGTATTTTATTTTCACTCAATATGTGATCATATTTCTGACATTATTTACTACTTCAGGCCAAGGCAAATGTTTATATGAATAGAAAAATATGAATGAAATATAAAACTTTTCAAAAATAATGAATGCAGTTCCCACATTCAAAAAGCTAAAAAAATCTTTCAAGTTAGCAACTTTCTCAAAAAGTTTCTGTCTGCACCCTTGTATTGACGTATAATATTGCCTTCATATGAATTATGAAATAAGTATAACCATTGACAATGTATTGTGTGACACCATGACTTGAAGGATCGAACATAATATGAATTGACAGACCCTATTTTAAAGGTTATGAATTAGTCTGAATTAGGTCTGCTATTGACCTTATTCTTCAATGCTGAAGTGCGCTAGTTTTGCGAATGTTTTAGAACTTCCGATTCAGTCGCCTATGGGAGAAATGACTAGGAATAATAAACGGCAGAAAACGTCAAACTACTTGCTCTACAAACAAATGTTTGGATGATTATACAGACCAAGTAGAATAATATAATAAGAAAATATCAGTTTGCAACATCAAACAGCAAAACGATCAGTTTTTAATGTCTAAAAATGAATGGAAGTGAATGAGACCGAAAGTCTTGAGCCAAAAAGATTCAAATGACTGCGCCTGATCGTTGGCGAAGAATAAGGTGAATGGGCATTGACCGGTATAAGACTCTGACGGTATGATAACCGAATTAACAGTTTCACAGTACTGTATTAACTGCTCTAAAATAATGTTAAAAATGTCTGGGTAAAAAAAATAAAACTTTTTCCCCTTTGACCACAATATATTTCATTTTGAGAAATATTTAAAATATTTTGGCGCAGTAAACATGTCAGGTTAAATAATTCAAATGAATCATTAACTTCTGCTGTCTTCATTTGTTTTCTTTACAATTTAAAACATTATCTTTGGATATCTTTTCTGCTGGAGATACTGTTGTCCTAAAAAAAAATACAAAAATTATATAAAAAAATGTACACATACCTTGGGAATGGTATAGCAGAAAATTTGGGTGGTTATAAAACCTTGACTTTTCCAAAGCGCGGTATACCTTGAAAACTATTTTCATCACATGCCTAGTTTCAGTGGCCTACTTTTTTTGTGTTGGTCAACTGATTACATACGAAACCAGAAGTCCACTTCTAAATAAACAGTAATGATTACCATATAGATTTAAATGCAAATCAGCACAGAAAACACTGTCGTCTTGACATTTCGAAAGCACAAACCTGTTTAAGATTCAAAGTAGTCATTAATGGGTAGCCATAGACAATGACAAATTACTTTAAAACCTAACTAATTTTGTGTAGAAAATAAGACTGGAATTGCTGACGACTCTTTCAGGCAGCTCAGATTGATCATTTTTTGATACACTTTGATCTTTAAAATGTTACATGACTTTTACATGAACACACAGCTACATTGACAGATATGTAATATTCAAAAAGCTTAATAAGGGACTTTAAAAGGCCTTCGAAAACTACAGGGAGCACAAGTTTTATTAGTAATAACGTGCAAATGCATTAACTGTCAGTCTGTGCCCTTTGACCAACTTATCAAAGTGACCTGAAGCCTACTTGAGCAAACAACACCACTAAATAATGGCTACAGCACACACTGTGACCTTCCACACTTTCATGGTATACATTCACCAGTCAAGCAGAACGTCTTAATATAGCAATCAACAGAATCTGGTTGTTATTGCTTCTCATATGTTTATTCACCTGAAGTATTCAGTAGATATCACTGTTTTGTTAATGTGTAACGAGGGTAACACATTTACATACATACTGTGTGGAATATGGTATATTCCTATATTATGATATAAACATAGCACCCATGCTAAGAACACCCATGCTAAGAAAAAGTGGATTGTCTAGTCTTTTCGCTTAATAAGACTGTTTGTTTACTGTTTTAAGATTGTTTTTTATCATATCTCCAAGGACTTTATTGAATATTGAGATTATAATGTGATTATTTGGCTTATTTTCCCCTTTTTCCAACAATTTTCATCAGCCCTTTTTCAATTGGTCAGGCTACAAAACCAACTTAACCTCCTAAGGTTAAAAACACATTAGGCTAGTTTAATGTGGTTATTTTTCTTTTAGCAGGGGCCAAAAACGTTTAATCAGCCTACTATTAAGTACGAGTTGTTTGTTAAATTGCACTAATAACTCAAACATATTTACAGTTATAGTTTATAGTTAACAGGATGATTGTCTAATTCAAATCACTGCAAACAAATTGAGACCACATGGCCTCCCCAAAGCCAATTTATTATTTAAGCAAATCATATAACATTGAATATTAAAACCATAAGCGTGCTAAAAATCATGGTTCATATTCTTGATTCCGCTTGATGTCAGCACGAGCTCCTGCCTAAATATTGCCACACAAAGGGATTCATTCATTACTTTCTCAGTCATTCGTGTTATTTTCCTGCTTATTATTGAGCTTTACAGATATAATAAATGGCTCAACACGTACAGAGAGGGACGCTGGCCTCGGCTGCTAATCCTACTATGGCAAATACGAACGAATTATAATAAGGTTACGCTGACGTCGCGTTGCCTTCTTAATATTAATTACGCAATGTTGCCGTTCCCTCCACCGGAAAACAACTGCCTCCTGTATATTAACTAGGTCACGCTGACGCTGCGCCGCAACCATCCAATAGCAAGTCACGTCTCTTGAATATTAACAACACGCCCTCCCATAGTAGGATTCAACAGTACTCCTAGCGAACGTTGGAACATCCGTGTTTACGCGACAGTAAACCGCGAGTCCCGAAAACACATAAGCCCACCGCTAAAACGTACTTACAGAATTCTGCGATGTAATAAGAGACCACATAATTCTCCTCGCACCAGTCGAGAGTGGAAGTCGGTGTTCCCCAGTAGCCCGGCCTGTCCGCCGCCGGAGCCATGATGACGGTGATCGGAGAGGTCGGACGGGCGGAGGGAGGAGCTGTTTTAACGGTAACGGATTCAGCGCTCCGTCCAATCTGAACGGGCCTACGTGCGATAACAGTTGAACGGCAAACAATAGACTTCTGGAACTTAATATAGCGACAAGTGGTGAACTTTGATAAGATAGTGTGTAATATGATGTAAACATAAATACATTGTATGATATATTAATATTTAAATGTTATTAAAATGTTAAACATAAACCAAACTAACAGTGTCGAAAATTATCATCTTCCCAGAGGAGGTGAAGAGAGAAAACATGCTTACATAATAACACACACACACACACACAAACCTACAGCTAGCTTTATGTAAACTTTACATATACTTAATGATTTTTATACTGTACAAACTGTGTTTTTTGTATCTCCCACCCTTAACCCCAATTCTAAATAGTCCTGTCTAATTTATGAGCCGTTTTTCATTTGGGGACCAAAAATTAAGTAAAGAAAAATGTCCCCGCAAGGTCAAAATTGACTGGTAAACAACCTGAGGAATACAAGGCACACACGCATGGATATATAGGCCTACTTTATATATTAAATTAAATAATGTAAACATAAATACATTGTCATTATATGTTATAATATATTCATATTTTAATGTTCATAAACCAGACTGAAACAGTATCGAAAATTATGCTAAAGCAGGTGAAGAGAGAAAATATGCTTATACAGTATATACACACAAAGACTTACAGCTATCCTTATGGAAACTTACATATACTTAATGATTTTTATAGTTACTGGATGTACAAACTGTATTCTTTACATCCCCTACTCTTTAACTCAAACCTCACAGGAAATAGTCTGTATTTTTACATTTTCTAAATAGTTCTGTCTGATTTATAAGCCGTTTTCCATATGGGGACTAAAAAAATAAGTAAATAAAAATGTCCCCACAAGGTCAAAATTGAATGGTATTGCTAAACAACATGATGAATACAAGGCACACACACATGGATATAAACTTTATATATTAAATTAAATCATGTAAACAAAAATACATTGTCATTATATGTTATAATATATTCATATTTTAATGTTCATAAACCACACTAACGTAGTGTCGACAATTATCATCATGCTAAAGCAGGTTAAGAAAGAAAATATGCCTACATAATACACACAAAGACATGTAGCTGTCTTTATGGAAACTTTACATGATGTACTTAATGATTTTTATACAGTACAAACTGTACCCCCCCCTTACAGGAAGGAAATAGTCTTTATTTTTACATTTTTTAAATAGTTCTGTTTGATTTATGAGCCGTTTTCCATGTGAGGACTAAAAAATAAGTAAATAAAAATGTCCCCAAAAGGTTAAAATTTACTGGTATTGCTATACAACTTGAGGAATACAAGGCACACACACATGGATATATACATTAATTTATTCAACTCGAACCAGCGACCTTCTTGCTGTTACTGAACCAATCGTGTCCCCTATATAATAAATTAGATATTAATAGTGCAAGTACATTGTAAGTTTAACTTTATCATAGCTTTATGTTATAATATTCATAAACTATTGAACATTTAATCTTAAAATTTGTGATAATGCCTTATTAATGACAGTTAAAGTATTAATAAATGAATTAATATACAATTAACTTCACTAAGAAATGAGCGTTTTGCTGAAGAAAGATGAAAAAAGATTTTAAAAAATGATTTTGCCATAATTCTAGGATTTGTTTTACATTAATATTGTTTAAGTTTAAATGATCAGTAGTTCACATTAAGTATTGTATATTCCTATTCCAGTTTATTTTCAAGTTAACATGTTGCTAAATTCTCTGAAAATAAGAAACCAACTAATAATTGTAATAGTAACTAATACGCCTGTATCTGAAAAAAAATATGTGATTTATTTCACATTTCATTCATTAAATTTTATTTTGTATCATTTATAAACATTTTTATTAATCATAATTCATTAATAAAATATATCAAATGGAAAATGTTTGCTATTATAATTAGATAACGTTTTTTTTCTTCAGTATATTACATATTTATTTTAAATTGTGCCTTAATTTTTTACCCCAATCAATGCTGTTGTATATGCATGACTCCTATTATTTTTTATGGGTTGAAGGTGAAACATCCTGATTTACACATTGAACACTTTCTCATCTGATCAGATAACAGAGTTTACACCTGTAAAACACAGACAAACCTGTTTCTTTTGACTAACCCGTCTCGCCAAAGACTCGTTAAGTAACTTTGTTTTGTAATGTAAAAAGAAGCAGATTCGCTTTCTAACCTACCTTACAGATCATTCTTGATAACATTGATTTTTGCAGATTTGCAGGTTGATATCAGTAAGCATTGATGTTTTTTGTTCAGTAAATCACCACTAGATGTCACTAGAGTATTGTATGGCAACATTTTTTACACAGTCAGTCAGTTTTGAATCATCTGAAAGAGGGTGAATTCAGGCCAATTGGGACTTTTCTTTGGTCATCACAATGGCAAAAAGTGTCCCAATTAACCTGAATTCACCCTAATTCATACAAAAATCCAAAAATATATGTTTTATTTCCCAATTTCCATTGTTTAGTATTGGCTTATTTGAATTGTTGGACACATTGGATATTTTTGCAATGCAATTCTAATTGATGCCGCTATTTTAAAAAAATCATTTTTTAGTAATAGTATGTTACAAAGTGACACATTTGGCAACATTAAACGTTGGCAGCTTATTTAAAATGAAATCATACATTTTAAATTATGTTAAAAATAGCTATTTACTTGCTTTTCATTCATCAGCAGTGTTCTAGTAGCATTATTACATATAAGTAATTATTTGTAAAAAAAAAAAAAAAAAAAAAGAATAAAGAGATTATATATATTAGATTTTTATTTTTTTTAATGATTTTTATATTTTTTGTTTTCAAAAATTGTTAGTGCTTGGCAAAGATTAATCTCATCCGAAATATTTAGCATAAATCTGTTAATTAACCTCAGTTCTGATCAAAACTACTTAACTGTTTAGAAAATTATAGGATTTTAACTGTTTAATTGCCAAATTCATAAATTATGTCACTGATTTGGTGAAAAAAACACACAAAATGATGTATTCTCAATTTTATTTGAGTATTTATGTTTTTATGTTTATTTATGTATTTTTTTTTAACCTTTTATCACAGTCTTGGACATGTGAACGATTAGTAACATTTTTCTTAATTATCTGTAGGTGGCTGTTTTTGCCCCATTGACTTCCATTATAACCACATTTGATGGTGTGTAAATACACAGTCTTTGATTTTATTTACTCCATGTAGTTCTGAGAGCTGAGATGCATATTTTGATTTTCTCAGACACATCAAGCTAAGTGTACAAAGGTCACATTCACACACACACATACACATACTTTTATTTGCTGTTTTACTCCATATAAAATCCAGAAACTAAGCTTTTTTTTTCTCAAAAATGCATGATTATGTGGTGTCATGGTTTTGTAATTTAAAAAATGTGGTTATAAAATAAGTCAATGGAAAAACAGCTACAAACTGTAAATTACTGAGAAAAAATGAAAATCAATCAAAAACAATGCATCATAGGCAATGTTGTTTCACATGTACAATACTTTTTTGATAAAAGGTTAAAAAAAAATCCAATCCACATTTACTTTTTTTTATTGAAAATGCATCATTTCATATGTTTTTTTTCACCAAATCAGTGACATCATTTATGAATTTGGCAATTAAAGAGGTGAAATCCTGTAATTTTCTAAACAATTTAGCAGTTTTGATCAGAACTGAGGTTAATTGACAGATTTATGCAAAAAAAATTTGAAAAAATATTTATCTGATGCATTTTACAGCAGTTTAATTCAGTGGATGTTTTCATCTCGAACATAACAAAATGGTAGTAAATTTGCCCAGAGTGTATGGTTTAGTTTTTTTTTTTTTTTTAAATGCATTTCAAAGCATTTTGTCAAAATATGATTTGTCACCAAAAAAATATTCTGCTAGCTGAAACAAAGAAAAAGTTGTGGCCAAATCAAGACTCAAAATCACCTCCGAGTGGATAAAAACATCCCCAACAGCACAAAAGGGTTCAATTTATTTTGGATGCGATTAATGGCAATTTGTTTTTGAATACATATATATATATATATATATATATATATATATATATATATATATATATATATATATATATATATATATATATATATATATATATATGTGTGTGTGTGTGTGTGTGTGTGTATTTATAATATCAATTTTACATTCTTTTTTGCACGTCTATATATTGTTTATTAATTTAATTTTAGTATGTATACTTTTGCATGCTTAATTTCAGTTCATAATTATTTTAGTTCTAGTAGCAAATGTGTTTTAGGGATATTTAAATTTTTTTCCAGTCTTTGTTTGCATTTTTAAAATGATTGGCCATAGATGGATGTTTTAAAATTATTACATTTACATGGATCTGCCAAGTTGTCTAAAAGCACTATTCTGCTTGGATGTTCTTTTTATCAAGCTATACTGCATACTGCATTATAATGAGCACGTTATACATGCTGCATACTTTCATACACACACACACACAAAAAATGTTTGCTGTTTGTTCAAACAAGGCTTATTTAAAATGAGCTGAGACAACACAATTCTTGATGTTTTAGGGGGACAACTTAATTGTTATATGTTCAATCCACTTCAATTAGTAAAAACTAATAAGGTAACTTAATTCCTTCTTGTTGTCCCAACACAAATCAAATTTACAAACACATCCTCAGTGATGCTGATTTTATTGTAAAATCAAGGAACAATCCAACATTTCAGGCAACCGTGTTTTGGTACAATGTGAATACAAGCTTTAACATGGTACAGACATGAGCTCATATCACTACTGTCTATAGTGCAGACACAGTATTCAGTGCAGACGCAAATGTGCGTAGGAATGTTTCAGCATGCTTTGTTGAACTCGCAGGCACTTTGTAAAAAAAACAGACTTTTTCAGAAATCAAACACCTGACATAGTGACTTATGCAAGCTAGCCATTGAAACGCAAATAAAAAGAGAAACCCTGAGCAAAAAATAAATGCTTTTGTGTGGATTTAAGACATTTCATGGAGATCATACTTAATATAAGCATGCTGCACTTCTCAGGAACCCATTCAGGTGTGAAATTATGATGCTGTCAAGTACACTGGAATTGTCTGTGACATAAGAAAGCATTATGAGGCATCTAAAATCAATTATCAATGTTAATCCCAAAGTATACTTAGTTTTAACTCATGTGATGGGAATTTTGTGATCAGCACAGTATGGAAAGCAATTAGGGCCAAAAAGTTTTTAAGTGAAATGCATGAAATTTAATTGTGACACGTTTAATAATTTTAATGAGCAAACAAGCACAACAACTAATGAAATTGCTGTATTTAAAACTATTTTTGCATTAGGCACAGTGGTTCATTGGGATAAATGTATACAAGACACACAAAAATATTGTAATTATATACTGGCCTTTCAATAAACATTGATTCCTCATCGCTATCAAACTATCTGTGTCTGCGTACTAAAGAAACAAAGTTGGCATCTTAGCAGTCATAGCATGCATGTTGCATAAAAATACTTAGCATGGTCAAACTGTGCAAATCTATGCATACTTAATAAACATATTCAAATCTGCTGCTTTGACATGATCAAATTGTGCATGTTCACACAATCAAATTTGACATGCACTTATGTATAATATACATGTTAAAATCTGCTTTTACGTAGTCACACTGCTCGTTCAAACAATAAAATGTAATGTATTGTCATAAGATTTTGACTCCATTGACCTTCCATATTTTATAAATGCTGCTTACTTGTTTAAATTGGGTCATAAAATCATACTATTCATGCTTATGCCTACTAAATAAACATGTAAAAATGTTTGCTTTTACATAGTCAAACCGTGCATGTTTACACAATAAATTTGTTAACGTATCATCTTAAAACTTTTGACTTTGATAGCCTTGAAGCTTGAAAAACGTAGTGAAATTGCAAGGTCACATCAGTTTCACACGTATAAAGATTTTTGTCCCCAATGGCCTTCCATATTTCGCAAAAACTACAGACTTAATATGCTCATACTGTTTAGTTTTACAAATACAAAACTAAACATGTTTAAATGCATACCTATACATGGTCAAACTGTGCACGTTCTTGCAATAAAAATTAATGTATTGTCTTTAAAGTTTGGGCTCCCGTTACCCCTCCATATTCAATATTTATACCTGTAAAATCTGTAAAAAGAAGTATACTTGAGTCGGCACCAATAGCCTAGTGGTTAAGTGTGTCAACATTTAGCACTGAGGTGGTCACGGTGACCCGAGTTTAATTGGTCCTTAACCGATCCTGTTCCTCTCTCTCTGCTCCCCACACATTCCTGCTTCCACTTTATTCTATCCTCTGTCCTATTCACTTAAGGTAAAAATTTCCTTCAAAAGAATTTTATATAAAAGCAAACTTGGGAAACATTGCGAAATTGTGAGGTGACGTTTGTGGGGACACACATTTGAAGATTTCAAACTTTTTGGCCCTGACGGCCTTCCATACAAGTAAAACAAAACATACTTTGGGTTTAAAGTAGTGCTGTCAAAATATTAATCACGATTAATCGTATCCAAAATAAAACCTTGTATTTACATAATATATTTATTTTGTGTGTGTGTATGTATGTATATATATATATATATATATATATATATATATATATATATATATATATATATATATATATATATATATAGTTAATGTAATTATTTATTTTATTTATTATTTTATGTATTTACATGTTCTTTTATATATGTATTTATTTATAATATTTATATCTAATACAAATTATATAAATATATATGTAAATATTTTAGTTTTGTATTTCTTGTGTTTGTATGTATGTATATACATATATATATATATATATATATATATATATATATATATATATATATATATATATATATATATATATATATATATATATATATATATATATATATATATATAATGAGTACACAACCATAATCTAAATACAAACGTGTATTTTGGGTGTGGTTAATTGTTTGACAGCACTAGTTTAAAGATTAAGAGATAGTACAAAGTGGTCCACAGATGGAACAAACTAAGGTGTACCATTTACACACATCCACAAATCTGCACACACTTCCACATACACTCGCATTTAAATTAACCCGCTACAATTCATCCCTCATTTTATCACCCTTCGGCCGGATCAGCCTGCCCATGAAAAGAATAGAGTTTGTCTTGTTGTCTTTCACCAGGAAGACAAAAGGATGGTCGGCGTAGAAGAGTTTGGGATTTTTCAGCTGGTCTGTACCAAAGATGCTAGTATCAGGCGGATTTCCCTCTGTGTCCCACTCCATGGCTGAGGCATGGAAAACATTGGACAAATAGAGGTCTTTCTTCCCTGAGATGTTGGACAGATCAGCCTTGGCCTTATCCACAGCTTCAGTCAGACCCAGCTCAGCGAGATGTTTCTGTAAGGAAAAGTGAGGCTATATCAGCAACTGAATTCACAGATGAGGTTATAACTAATGTTTACTTAAATTGGTTCGTACCTGCAGGTTGTGGCTGACCTCCATGCTGACCTTTGGCAGAGAGATTGCTACTGCTTTCTGTTCCATTGCACTGACCCAGGTGTTCAGTTGTTGACGTGTCAGCAGTTTCTCCACTCTTTCCAGTGATTCTACGTGGTATGGCATGATAAGGACTAAAGATGACATCTTATGGGCCAGCGGCATTTCCAGAACTAAAAGTTTGTTGGTTGTGTCATCAAGGAAGCCATAAATGCCTGGAAGTAAACACAACAGGTGTGATGTTCACTGTATTGTGAAGTGAGTGTAACATTTTGCTAAGATATTAACAGACATTTTAAAATAAGGATACACCAATATGGAATTTTTTGATACAGTTAACTAATACTAGGATTAGTTAGGAAGACAGACGAATCTTGATATGAATTTTTCCAAGCCTGATAAGAAAAAACAAACAAGCAGATGCTGCAGTTTGTTATTTTGAACAAACTTATATTTTTATTTGACTTTTTCAGGGTTCCCACGCTTCTTGAAAGTACTTGAATGTCAGACATATGGATTCAAGGCCTGGAAAGTCAACAGTATCTGGATGCAGCCTTTATGATGCAAGCAGAGACTGCATCACTCAGCAATGCAATGTCAGACACAATGCACTCAAATGGAGCAAGTGATGTCACTGTAAGGGGTAGGGTTAGGGGTGGGGTTAGGTGAGCCCATTAAAAAGCATTGGATGCAGCCCAGATTGCACTGCACCAGGTGTGCAACCAGACCCCTCTCTGGAAAGTACTTAAAAACAAACAAAGGTCCTTAAAAGTGCTTGAATTACATTTAAAATTATTTATTTATGGTTTTATTTTAACAACTCTACTCAGTTGTCAAAAACAAAATAAAAAAACTGAGAAATGCTTTAATTAAAAATCCTAAATTTAAATCTTCAACAATAACTCTGACAAATAATGCATATTTTATCAATATTTCAGAAACCGCATTTGAATATCACCAATATTGAATTAAGTACTTTTATTAAAGTTCTTTCAGCTTGACTATTTAAAATGGTCAATTTTTGAACATTTTCATTTCATTTTCATTTTTAATGTAAATATTCAGTGTAAGTGAAATGTTAAGTACAGTAAGGACTTTCATGGCGCTACATATGCCTGTGGGTGTGAATTACAAAAGTGCTTGATTTAAAACTAGTGAAGCTTTAAAAAGTCCTTGAATCTGCTGGTCCTGAAACCGTGGGAATCCTAAATATTTTTGTTGCAACAAAAACTAGTTGAGTCACAAATGACCCACTCTCTTATACACAATGCACTTAAAGTATACACTTCATCATGTAGTGCATGAGTTTATTGTCTTCCCTAATAGAACACTAAAGTTTTTTACTAACTGTAAATGTAAACCGTTTTCTCCTTAAATCGAGAGGCTCGTAATCCCTTACAGAAATGTTCAACATTTCACTTCAGTTTATCAGTTGAATAAGTGAATAAGTAAATCATTCAGGTATTTAAATTGCACTTATTCTATTTACAGGGTGTCTACGGCGTCTTAAAAAATCTTAAAATGTCGTAAAAACAAAATTTTAGACCCTAAAAATTCTCAATTTTCCTAATTTTAAACAGGTCTTAATTTTCCTATGTCCATGTTAAGCTAACCAATCGGGCCAACCCCCATCCAATCACCAACAAATACATCTCAGAAAAGATTTGAACAAAACTCTGTTTATACATTTACATTTACCAATATAGTTTAATTATCTTCCTTGCAATAACATTTGTTTAAAAATTATCTGTGTATTTATAGACCATAAATGGTAAGGACACTGACTTGGACAGACATTTAGATTATTATAATTTTTAAAGTGTTTTTTTAAAGAAGTTATGTTAAATAATGTTTTTGTACCTGACACATTATTTAAAATGCGTGGCTAAGGAATAACTATTAAGATTTTTTTTAAATGGGCCACATAAAATCTTTTTCGCTGGACCAACCGGCCAATTAGAAAAAATACATGTAGCATTTAGTCTTGTATAAGTACCTGTAAAAGAAATTTCATTAATAATAGTCTTTAAAGGGTATAAAAAAATCTTAAATTTAGCTTTGTGAAACGTGCAGAAACCCTGATTTAGAATTTCCTGATTTTCCAGCCGATTTGAACGTTATTACTCGAATGAATGGGCTTTATCTGGTTATCAGCTGATAGATATGGGCCAGTAGAGGCCTTCTGCGCCTACTGCTATGCTCAGAAGGCTGTTATTATCCATCCACATGGTTAATCAGCTATAGATCACATAAGGCTGCGGCCAGAAGTTAACGAGAATTATCTATATTATTTATTAAATTTTCCATTATTTGTATTTTATTGATGTCTACCCCAACCCTAAACCAAACCATCACAGTAATGTAAAAACAGATCTGGATTTGGAGTCTTCTCTATTGGTGTAGCTGATTAACCATGTGGATGGATGATATCAGCCTTCTGAGACTACCAGTAGGCGCAGAAGGCCCCTACTGGCCAAATTTATCAGATGATAAACACTGATAACACCGATTCAATCAAGTGATAACATTCGAACCCGGTTAGATTTTCAGTGTATTGCATATGTATGTGATTTGGCCCCCTTCACCACTAAGCTACAAATGATTTTTTTGTTTCAGGATGATCTACTCTTTTTAATCAAGTCCTCACCTGTGCGGTGCATCATGGGTACGGAGACGGTGAATGACCGGTGCACTAAGAAACCACGATTGTCCACCATCTTATGATGAAACTGCTCATTCCAGTGTGCTGGAGAGAAAACAGAGACACGTTTTAGTTTCTAACGAATCTACCAACTGCCTTTCACTCAAACTTTAATCAACACTTACGTTTATAAAACATGGCATTGATGATCATGGCTCCATCTGTCTTCTCCACATCTTTGGTCACCTCCGGCAGCTTTCCATCGGTGGACTTCGATGCCCAGTCGTTGATGGCTTTCACCGCACTGCGTTTGTCGCGGAAGTTAATTTTGGAGTGGTCGTAATTGTAATGCTTCTTGCTGCTTTTCAGAAAGTCATCAACGAAGCTAACAGAACTGGGCCCGTAGAAGCGGTTGCTGATCTTCCAGGTGACGTTTCGTGCCTTTGGGTTGCTGACCTCGGTGAGGAGCTCCGAAAGCCCAGAATGGAGTTGCTCATCCTTCACTGAAGCGGCGCTCAAGACGGTTTTGACCTGAGAAGCAGTGTTGGATTTTCCTCCAAGAGCCACCAGACCCAGCGATGAGGCCACTACCACTGGGGAAATCAGGATGTTCTCGATGTCCTTATCTTTCGCCATGTTTTGATACAGGTTGAAGGCCAGTGTGGCGCTGTTGTCGGCTAGCGTGGTTGCAATGCTGCTCAGGGTCTTGTTTGCGCTCACAGTGGCCAGTAGGCACAGGAGAAGCACGTTTGACGCCAACATGATTTTAGAGGTAAGTTTACAGCCTGCAAAGGTGGCAGAGAACTAATCAGTGAGGTTTAAAGGTTAAATTCAAATAAGAATTTTAATAAAGTGTAAGTAAATCATTGTAAACCATTGTAATGCCTTATTTCCACTGAGCACTACGGTTCAGTACAGTATGATTTAATACGGATCACGCTGATCAGGCTTGCCCTTCATGTTAAAAGGAGTTTTTGTCGAAACCATCTGCAACATTCATGCAGATAATTTCTATTTTAGAACATCTTACTATTTACGCGATGTCACGGCAGAACAACAGCATCTACTACTATGACAATGATCACCTCAGGTACTGATTATGGGCTTTATTCAGTGTTAAATGCCCCCAATGTGAGCTTAAATACCATTTTGTGACATTTATTGCCATACTACTAAAAGCAGCAGCAGGTAGTTTACCTCAGATGTTGAAAATAAAGTAACTAGCAGACGGTTTGAAAATGAAAGTAAGAACTGTGACAACATCAGTCCCTCAGTAGCCTATTAATAATGTAAAAGAGGTCAAATAGGTATAAATCGGTATTTAAATGTTTCGGTCACGTCGCATCGTGTTTGGTGCAGACAGACAAATTGCTTGTCACTGGAAACTTGTCGCTTCGTATGTTGTTAGGACACGTTGTTACTTGGTAGACGTGCTGTACACCAGACAATTGTGATCAACGTCATTAGAAATAGATAGCTCTATGGATGTGTTGACCTGCAAATAGAGAAAGGAAACAGCACCTCTTGTGCTTTCCACATTTACAGCAAAAAAAAAATGTGTAACTGTACTGTATCAAACTGTACCACTCAGTGGAAACAGGCCAAAAAGCTGTGGTCACACTGCACTTTTTGCCCCATAGACTTCCATTCATGCACATGCCAATGTGGCAGACATGTATAAAATGCAATTATATTGCAATAGGAATATAATGCAATAAAAATACAATGCGATAAAAATTATACTTGTAATTTGAAGTAGGAAAAAAGCATAATATTTACTAATAATACTAATAAAACGTTTGTATTATTGAAATAAATGTTGATTGTTACCACCGAATTGAACTTGCAGCTTCATACGGAAATGTAAGCGTATGCATCAGGTTTAGCAAAACGTGACACCTCAGTACAGAAATGTAATATATGAACCAATATAAAGATCTATTTTGCAGTGTTTTACTCTTGGAGGCTCTCTGATTGGTGGACTTTTTGCACAACATCATGGGTAGTGTGATCAATTTGATCTTAAACTTGACAATGAAAAGAATTTTGAACTTCCAGATCCTGACTGTTGTGTTTCACACACATCACTTGTATCAAGTTTTGTTATTTGTCATTCATTTTTCTGTTCTAAATACAGTTTTAGGTTGATTTAAATATATTTATATTCATTTTATTTAAAATTACTTGTAGTCTGTTTGACATTATTACTGTATTTTATTTTCCCCTAATAATCTAATTTTACCCTGTGCAATTTATTATAGAAATGCAGTAAGTAAGTGATGGTTTTCTCTGTGTAGAGCTGTAGACTGTGCTCTGACCACAGAACTCTAAGAAGAGCCAAGATCTATTAAAGCTGTAATTTGAAATCTCCACTGACTTTTAATGACAGGCCTGCTGTGCTAAAGAAGGTCCAGCAGATATACAAGGCAGAAGAATTACATAACTGCCACGTGCACAGTTGAAACATACACTACACTGTCATATGAATGAGAAGTATTAACTGTGGTTTTAACAGTTTACGTTGCTGTTAAAGTTTTTGAATGCTTCTTTTGCCCACCATAGTTAGATGATGTTTATTTAATCAAAAATACAGCAAAAACATTAAAATTATTTAATATTTTTATATATTTTAAATTATACAGTTGAAAACGATTAGCTCTTTAAAATTTTAATTCCTTTTTTTTTATATTTCCCAAGTGAGGTTTAATTGGACCAATGACACCTTCACAGTATTTCCTATCATATATTTTCTTCCAGGGAAAGTCTTATTTCTTGTTTTTTTTTTTCTTTTTTATTTAAATGTAAAGAACAATACTATTAACCCTTCTGATAACTATAGTTAAATTAGTCAAATATTGTATGCTGTAATCATGGCAAAGACAAAAGATATTAGTTATGTAAACTGTTATGTTCAAAAATGTGTTGAAAAAAAAAACTCTTAAATAAACAACATTTGGGAAATATTGTTAAAACAGTAGAACTTAGTTATTAAATTTCACAGGAGGGCTAATAATTTTGATTGTGTATCATTTATAGCATTTTTTTATTGTAACATGATGCTTCAGTAAGCATTACATGCTGATATGCTTTTAAAGAATTATTTTTATTATGAATTATCCTTTATAAAATGTTGTTACAAAAGCCTTTCAGGACAGTTTGATGAATAGAAAGTTTGCTAGAACACCATTCTTTTCAAATAGTATTTTTATCTCTTGATCAATTTAATGCCTCCTTACTTAATAAAAGTTCCCCAAAAAAGGTTAAAAGTTTTCAAAGTTCAATAGCAAAGAAATTGGCATATACTCAAGATGCACAGATCTTTTCTTAAAAAAGGGTTATAACAGCCACACATGCAGATTTCTGGGATCTGAAGTCATTTTACGCTGGATAACCGTTATCCAATCAGCACTGCCAGGATGGCAGGAAGCTCAACAGTAGTGTGGGAACATCAGACCTCAGAGATCCTGCAGATCCACTCCACCCTAATCCCATTGAATGGCTTAAAATGTAGCCTTCAGGAATGCAAACTGCATTAAATCACAGCCTTTCATTGAATGACTTTTATTATGCCTTTAGGCAAGCCTGAGACAGTTAAACAGTCAAAATTCATTTATGAACTGATATCCAAAGCTGCATTTGCTTATGGGACATTAAAGTTAAACTAGTTAGAAAGTACTCAGAACGAAACATTCCCAATGAAGGATTCTGCTTTGGCATGCTGCACATTCTTTGCATTTTTCCCGTGCTGCATTAATTCAACAATGTCCATTTGTTTTCACAGCTACTGTATAAATGGCATCTGTTACTCACCTCTCAGAGCTCCTGAAAAACCTCTCTACAACCTCTCGGATATGCCGACGTGCCCACCACCAAATCCTTCACGTAGACTTTATAGATGGGAAAAGAAACTTCTGGAAGTTAAGAAAGGAGTATTAGAATGGTTGTCGTTGTCTGTGAGAACCTCCCCCCAGATCCAGTTACTGTGAGAACTGGACTCTCTCTCCTCAAGGTCCTAAAGGTAGCAGCAAATGACCAACATTTCCTGCAAACACAAATGACTTCAAAAGCACACAACAAAAAATGCTGGCTTATTTCAAGATAAATTTGAGTAAAATATGGTCAAACTCAATGGTTGGGTTACATTTGTGTTAAAATTTGTACATACAGTAGCCAAATCTGGGTTGAAATAGTGTGTATGAAAAAAGGTGGATGTAGGCCTAAACATCAGAAATCATAATATCTTAGAATAAAACTACATTTAATTCAGTCTCAAACATGGTGTTTTTATGATTTTGATTATAAAGATGTAATAAGTTTTTACATGTTGTAAAAGTAACGGTAAGACTACATGTTTGGTGTTCCTCCCCCACCCATCTCTCTCTCCTGCTCTCTCTCTCTGTGCCACGTTTGTAGAGACTCATGTCTGGGCCTGCAAGCACAGCAGACAAAACAGAACAGGGATTTTATCTCTCCTTTTGTGTGCAAAGCATGCTTTATAGTTTTCATTCATTACCAGTAATGGCAAAATACTTTTTAAAAAAGTTTTTTTGTTGCTATAATATAAAATATATTTCCGTTTTATATAGCACTAGGAATGCTGTTCTGTTAACACAAGGCACTGAAATGCATAAATAATCCTTCAGGAGTATTTTATTGCTTACAAGTTGCTCTTTTAAAACACAGAAGACATTTAAGTGTACATAAAGTTGAAGACAAAATGATTTGCCCTACTGTGATATTTTCTAGTATTTGGCAAGTGATGTTTAACGAAGATATTTTTGATGATAATAGTCTTAAATGACTAATTTCTTTAGTTTTTGACAAGATGATAGCACATATTTTACATATTATATATATTCTACTAATAATATTAAGACATTAGTATTCAGCTTAAAGTGCTGTTAACAGGTTTAACTAGGTTATTTAGTTACTTGGTTCTGTTATTATCTGTTATATAATAACCCAGCAGGCACAGGATATCAACATGACATCAGAATGATGTTGTACCCCAATGTCATGAGGATTTTGCATTTTGTTTGGAAATTAAAATCAGGTTGACGTCAGAATCCAACGTCTGGTTGACGGGCGGCAATGTCCAACGTCTTACCTAAAATTAACCAAAGATCAATGTCTAACGATGTTATAGCTTGAGGTTGTGTGGACGTTACCACTATGACGTCCATTATTGTTGAAATTTGTTTGCCATACCTGATGAATAAATGTCAGTATCTGACGTCAATATGATGTTGGCTTAAGATGTTGGCTCGACGTTGGATTTTGGTTACTTTCCAACACAATCTAAAATGAACAAAATATCAACATCATTTGACGTCATTATTGGACATCAAAATAAAGTTGTCCTTATACGCTGACTAGACATTGGTTCTTGAATCTGATTGGCTGATAGCTGATAGCTATATTCTGCAAATAACAGCATTCGTTCAGCCTCTTCACCCTTCATCCTTGTGTATTACTCCACCCGCATACAGCAACAAGCAGAGGACACTCTATTGACCTTATTCTTCAATGCTGAAGTGCGCTAGTTTTGCAAATGTTTTAGAACTTCCGATTCAGTCACCTTTGGGAGAAATGACTCGGAATAATAAACCACTGAATACGTCAAACTACTTGCTCTACAAACAAATGTTTATAAGATTATAGAGACAAAGCAGAATCATGCATTCATTCATTCATTCTTTCATTTTTTTTTGGCTTAGTCCCTTTATTAATCCAGGGTCGCCACAGCGGAATGAACTGCCAACTTATCCAGCACGTTTTTACGCAGCGGATGCCCTTTCAGCTGCAACCCATCTCTGGGAAACATCCACACACACTCATTCACACACACACACTCATACACTATGGACAATTTAGCCTACCCAATTCACATGTACTGCATGTCTTACCCAGAGGTAACCCACGCGATTGCAGGGAGAACATGCAAACTCCACACAGAAATGCCAACTGACCCAGCCGAGGCTCGACCCAGCGACCTTCTTGCTGTGAGGCAACAGCACTACCTACTGCACAGGTGTCAAACTCAGTTCTAAAAGGGCCGCAACTCTGCACAGTTTAGTTCCAACCCTAATTAAACACACCTGATCAAACTAATTGAGTCCTTCAGGCTTGTTTGAAACCTACAGGTACGTGTGTTGGAGCAGGGTTGGAACTAAACTGTGCAGGGCTTCGGCCCTCCAGGGATTGAGTTTGACACCCCTGACTTACTGCATCACCTAAAGCAGAATCACATAATAAGAAAATAACAGTTTGCAACATCAAGCAGCAGAACGAGCTGTTTTTAACGTCTAAAAATTAATGGAAGTGAATGAGAGCGGAGGATTGGAGTAAAAAGATTCAAATGGCTGCACCCACTCGCTCGCGAATAATAAGGTGAATAGTTTGACAAATATAGCTGCTGTTGGACAACATAATGTACGTTTGAGGCTTTTTTAGCCGAGAATGCAGTTTATTTATAAGGATAGTGCCTATTTTTAAATATTTATAATTTTAGAGAGACATCACGTCACCGGCCATTATCCTATCATTAGCAGAGCAAAGACGGTTGACGTTGTTCATCCACAAGATGGCGACAGAGACCACATAATAAGCCCTTTAAAAGAAAAGCAGCGTAATTTCTAACTACAGCTAATCAAATCATTATTAAACAGATAAATGACTTTCGACCTCTCTCTTTTGTACTGTATGTTGTAGTGCTATACTTATACCATAGTAATTGTAGTGTATTGAGTGTGAGATGAAACTCATATGAGGAATGTATTTTGTGTTGGCCACTCTTTGTGTAACCCTGAGTTACTTTTTGGTTGGCCATCTGTTTGTTTCTAATGAGTCTCCTGTTTTTGCTACTGCAGAGTAATTCAGTAAAAAGAAAGAAGAAATGCCCGCATGTGTTCAGGTTTTTTTCATTATCGCAAACACAACAGTCATCTGCTAGTTGTGCTGCTTTGGCCTTTTCGGGGTTTATTATTGTGATCTCCCGATTGCAACAGAGAAATACTAGGAAATATCTGACTGATGGCATTTCATGACGTTCAGCCTTATAATCTTAAATTATGAGCAAAATCACCTGTTTTGTCATCACTTTAGACATTACGCTAGAGAATCATTCAAATACTAGCTCTAAAGTGACGTTGCTGAAGTAGTAATGGTTTCTGCTGTTCTGACATCAGATGTAAATGAATGGCGGAAGAAAGTACTTCCTCTTACAAAAAGGTTTTTAGACTCTCTGGTTTGATTTTCTATTTTATACACATGACTATGTCGTCGATCTGTTGTATAAACACAATATCACACAAGTAGCAGTGCGATGTGGCTGTATATATATTTACTGGTGGGACACCAAGGCACTCGGCTGGCAGCCTCAAGCCAGTGCATGCCTCCCACCAGTGCCGATATACAGCCATATCGCACTGCTACAAATGCTCATATATTTGTCTTATAATTGTTTGAAATTTAATCTTTTTTTTTGCAGCCAAACTAAATCAAATAATACTTAATATTATATTTATAAGCATACAAGTATATACAATTTATAGCACAAAGTAAACTTTATTGAATTTTATTTGAGTTTCATTTAAAAAAATACAAGTTTGTACTTAAAATACACATATTTTATTCAATTTAAAAGTTTTTACAACTCTTTAAAATGGACATGCTTTGAGTACAATATAACTTTAACAATAATGTGAATAGCAGATATATTAGAATTTTTTTTTTAATGAATACATTTATCAAGTTTATGTTTTAAAATCCATGCCTTTAGATTGCTCATCTAACATTCTTAAGATGTGATCTGCAATGTATGCCGCCATCAAACAGATATCATTATCTGCAGGAGGCTGAACGAGCTGCTCCTCATTAACATCTAACATCAAACCGTTCAGAGATACAAACCATTAACAGCACAGCCTTCAAACATTACGCCCCCAGGCCTGTTTGAGGATCAGTGGCGTTCCTACAGGCTTCACAATGTTGAAAGAATGCAGATCGCTTTAGTTCACCGCGTTTCCTTTCTGATTGGCTGCTTTACGTGTCTTGTTATGTTGTTAAATCCTTATGGCCTGAGGTTTAACCCGGACTGACAGACACTGATTACTGCTGAGAACAAAAGAGAAAGTTATTTCGTCACTGCAGAGCCTGAAACCACCACATTTCTGCTCTTTTTATTCACTTATCTTCTGTTTACACATGGAAAGAACTCCTGTGTTGCTAAGCTAAGACATGTTACTCAGGCTGCTTTAAAAGGGACCTATTATGTAAAAATCACTTTTATAAGGGGTTTAAATACAGTTGTGTGGCAACAGTATGTAAATATAACCAGCTTCTAATGGCAAAAATGTATTGATTTAATTTTTTCTAATCATACTTGATAACAACAGTCTGTAAAAACACTTTAATTGACAGCCCTGAGTGAGAAGCAGCTGTCCACAAGTAGAGTTTTGCCATATCTGATAATGTCAGCGACTAAGAGGCTTATAAATGTCAGGTTTTAGGATGTAAAAATAAACATTGTACTCTTCATAGAAATTTTTCTAGATGCTTTTTTTTTATATTTTCAGTTTTTCACAGAGATAATGTTTTGAATTTGCCACTATGCTGACACACAGGCATTTGTAGCTCCGCCCCCTTTCGAAAAAAAGGTCACCAAGAGTCACCAAGACGCCACAATTTTTGGGCTCAAAGCCTAAAAGGGTATTAATGAGTTATAAAACATTATTTGTGGGATATTTTGAGGTGAAATTTTACATACACACTCTAGGGACATCAGATAATTATTTTTAACCTTATATAAAGAGGCATTCCCTATAATAGTGCTGCAAAAACAGTTAGAAACAATGAAAGTCTTTTTTTTTTTTTTTTTAGGATTCCTTTATAACTAATAAACTTGTTCATGCTTTTATCAGCAGCAGGGTGGATTACTGTTATGGGCTCCTCACGGGCATTCCCAAAAAGACAGTTACATAGTTGCAGCTCATCCAGAACGCTGCAGCCAGGATTCTGACCAGAACCAGAAAATCAGAGCACATCACACCTGTCCTCAGGTCTCTACACTGGTTTCCAGTTACATTCAGAATAGATTTTAAAGTATTATTACTGGTCTATAAATCACCAAATGGCCTAGGATCTCAATACATTACAGATATGCTCACTGAATACAAACCTAATAGATCACTCAGATCTTTAGGATCATATAAACTAGAAGTTCCAAGAGTTCAGTCAAAGCAGGGTGAATCAAGCTTTGCTACTGCACCCCCCA